TTTTAAAATCTCAAATCCAAGTAGCTGTAGCAATGCAATTAAACAAAACAAAACAGAAACAAGGGCAGCATAGCTAGACAGTTTGGGAATTGGGGTGTGGGGGAAGCCTGGGGCCTCACCCGCAAACCCAAACCCATGATTGCCCTTCACACATTAGATTTTTTCATGCCTTTCTATTTCATGCCTATAAAAGTAGCTTCAAACGTGGTTGTTAAAAATTTAGAGCTTCTGAAGCCCATCTTCAGCCATGTATTACCATCGTAAATTTCCACATTTTCTCTTTTGCAGCCCTGATCAGTGTCGAGATTCTATTACCTCATATCTCAAAGGAGAACCTGGAAAATTTGAAGCAAATGGGAGCCATGCAGAAGTCACTCCAGAGGCAAAGACAAAATCCTACTTTCCAGAATCCCAAAATGATATAGGGAAACAGAGTGCTAAGGAAACTCTGAAACCAAAAATACATGGATCTGCTCGTGTGGAGGAACCGGCATCATCGCTAACAGCCTATCAGAAAGCTCTAGAAGAAACCAGCAAGTTTGTAATAGAAGAACCTAAACCCTGTGTGCCTGTCAGTATGAAAAAGATGAGTAGGACTCCTCCGGCAGATGGCAAGCCAAGGCATAATGTGCACGAAGAAGAGGGGTCCAGTGGGTCTGAGCAAAAGGTATGCAGTCTGGTTATCTGATACACTGTCAGTTAAACCAAGAGTACTAATGCTTCCCGTCCTTTGATTAATCTTGTAATGCTGGTTCTTTACTATTTCCCAATTATCAGTGCTAATACTAATGGAGGGGGTGAAGAAAGAACTAGGTAACACTCATGCTATTTGATTATATTTTCATTCACGGAGTAGGAAAAAGGAATATGCATGCCTTCAGCCATTTTTCAGGAGAAAAAAAAGAACTACAGGGAAGTTACGCTTAAGGTCCAGTGGCAATTTTTGTCTAGGATTTGGATTTGGGCTTCCTAACTCCCAACCCAGTCGTCTGTCTTATGGAAGGAGGATAATTATTCTGGCTTTTCCTGGTTCTTCTGCATAACTTAAAGAGTTTATAGATGTGACCCACCTAAGAGTTCTACCCTAGAAAGGCTGTTATCTGAAAGTGTGTTTTAAAAATTAAAGAAACCCAGTGCCCGAGCCTGAAATGAGGTGGGTATATACACTGTTGCTTGACTGCATTGAGAAATTTGAAGTTGGACATATCATTTTAATCATTTTTATATCTAAGCTGAAAATTTTCTTAATATTTGTTTCTCGTAATTTTGAAGCCTTAGTGTCCTAGAATTATTTGCTTTCGCTTTGTACTTAAACATGTGTTTGTGGTAGATTTTTTTTTTTTCATTCTTTGAGATTTACCACTTTTAGATATTAAAAAAATTCTGAACTGAAATTTATAACTCATAGACGGATAAAAGAAAATAAAAGTTAGTTACATTTCCTACATTTTTTACTGCTTTTTGCTCTCTCTGTCTTGTCTTTTCCCGAACCATGCGGTAGGCGTAGGCCAAGACGTGGACATCTTGGAATAGTAATACTTGCAGTTTTCCCTAAAACATCCAGTGGTGCTTAAGATCTCCTGCAGTGTTGGGATTTAAAAGAAACAAACAAACAAAAAAAATTCTTCTGTAAGCTAGCAAGTCCATGATGAAGTTGTGGTTTACAAAAACTTTATTAGTAAACTCCCAGTCACTCGGAAGCTAATGATCGGCTAGCTGGTCAACTAATCATATCCTTTCCTGGTCCCTCTGCAGGCTAGCTGCTGACCGGTTTCCCACATGTTAGGAGGGAACGTGAGAGGAAGTAAAGTTCTCAGGCCTTCCTTTCACTTCCTGACAAATGGGTTTTGAGTATTGATTTCTTTCAGTTAATTCTTAGCATATTTAAGCAGTATGACCTTGGATGTTCCCTTTTGAAATGAGTCCACAACACATAGAAAGAAGCAATAACATTGTGATGTCTTAACTATGAAAGTTTACCATTAAAAATCCATAGAGAAGTTCTGAAATCAAATCATCTAAATATGAATAAGCAGTTGTGTGTGTGGACACATCGGCCACTGGGGAACCAGGGAGAAGGCAAAAGAGGGTTTGAAAGGAAAGTCTTAACCCTGCATGGAAGCTCAGCTGAGTCCATCAATACTGGAACATAATTAATTACTCATCAGTACTGGAATATAATTACTCTTAGAAAATATTTTCAAATTGCTTATGAGATTGTGCTTTTTGGTCTTGTCACTAGTCCTATTCTAATGCCTAAAAACTTTTCATGAGCATAAAAGTTCTTAACGGAGTTAAAGTTTCTGGGAGTTTCTGATCTCACAAGAAATCCAAACATGTTCAGGTTGTGTCCTTTGTGGCTAGATGGGAGTAGAGTAGTAGCAATCAAGTAAGTCATCTGATGTACGATCTCAGAAAACAGCACCCTTTTTGTCCCCTAAAAAATCAGGTCAAAAGTCCGGGGGCGGCTCTTACACGGATGACTGCCTGCTGCTACAAGGTAAACTTCTGCTCTTTTCCACCTCTTTCCATGCAGTGACCCATAGTAAAATGTACTGAAACAACCCCATTTGTCTGTCTACTAGTTACCCTCTTTGCCAGTTCTCGAGAATTCCCTAAAAGGAATTGTGATCGAGATTCTCCTAGCATCTTCTGTCCACCTTTCACCTTCAGATTAGCAGAGAGTAGAAGCTGAAACATTGGCCAAATGGCCTTTTTTCTTTCTGTAAGGGACTAGTCTCAGGATTCTTGAGAGGATTATAATGCAGTTCATGTCTAGGTTTGGTAGTGTTTATAGGCACATATGTTCTGCTTTTCAGTTTACCCAAGTGAAAACCTCTCCCCAGTTTACAATTCTGTGTATGAATAATTCAGATTGAATTTTCTCTTTTGCCTCATCTAACCTGTTGATTCCTGAATGCTGACTGGGAATTCTTTTCTCTCACAACATGAATTCCTCTTATTTTTTCTGACATTCTGAGCTGTTTCAGTGTCTCCTTTCACAGTACTGGGATCACTGTACGTTTTCTGAATTTTATAATCTTTTCTAAAACATTTTAACAGTAGGAGGGAACTTAGTAGCCAATATCTTTGCATGGAATAAGAAACTTGAAAACTCTTCCCTTTTAATACCATATCATTCAGTTGGGTATTTTGTTCAGGTGAAATTTCTTACAAAGTTAAGGTTGATATTTTATTTTGAAGTATTTGTTAAGTGTAACTTGGTGAAAAGTGACCTACTTTATTATCTATTTGACAACATTTCATAATCACTTTAGCCAATACTTGTACCTCCTATAACAATTTTTATTCCCCCCAGTTTTTACCAACACTGCCAGTGATTTTTCCAATGGATATGAACTGCAGTTTCTGTCTCTGGGACTCTCAGATTTGGGGCAACTACCAAATTTAGAAAATAAAATGCCAGAACTATTTTCAGAATTCCACCATTAAAATTTAGAGATAATATCATTCAGTAAATAGTCTTCACCATGACAGTTAAGAAGAAGCCAGAGATATTTGTCCCTTTGAGTTGTGAACTGTGTGGTAGTTTTTCCTTTGTCTCATCCTTACTGTCCAAAAATTAAAATTTTGTGTACTTCCTGTATTCTTGTCTATACCATCTTCTTGTCTGTCACATGTTTTTTCTGTCCTCATTTCATATCAGATCCTTAAAATAAAACTCCAAGTTTTTACATGTTTTACATTATTCCTTCATTCATTCACATAAACTCTTACTGAGCACCTATTGTGTGTTAGGAGAAAATTATGCTGCTAAAAATCTCCTGATAAAAATATACGTGACAAATTCTACTCATGTCAATTCTTTAATTTCATAAAAATCAGAAATCCTATACCTGTTTCTGTCAATCAAGTGAAGCATGGCCATTCAGGTCAAATGTGTGAGATTTAAAACAAATTTTAAATGAATATTAATGTTTCTTCAAACTAATAATGAGTAGCATGTAGTTTCTGATACCAAAATGTCTGTTATTTTTAATTAATGTAATTTCATTGATCTTTACTATAAATGTGCACATAAAGATCAATGTAATTAAATATATATATTAATATACATACACACATATATGCATGCATATACAGAGTCATTTCATTTAGGGTCCTGCTCAAAATTTTCTTCCACTTACATTTTTTTTTTTTTTAAGATTCTCAAAAAAAAAAAAAAAAAAAGATTCTCACAAATACATACCATGATGTTCTTAGCAGGGGAAACCAGCAAGTAAAAGTAATTCTTTTTTGATTTCCCTTCTCAGAATGTCTTTTATTTTAAATGTGATGGTAAAATTATACTAAAAAATGCATTTATCAGGACTTGAAAGACAGTGAGAGTGATTCAAGCTCAGAGGAAGAACGGAGAGTCACTACCCGCGTTATTCGCCGGCGTTTGATTATAAAGGTATCCTGTAGCCAGATCGTGATGGGGCATTGCTCTGGGATTAGAAAGTCCTTCCTTTTGGTCTTGAAAATTCAGCATGCTTGATAACTAAGCGGTTCTCTATATGTTTCTTTGCACATTTGAAAGCTTGTAAGAACAACCACCAAGAGGAAAGGGTCCTGTTGCATGGTAGTGAGTGCTCTGTCTAGGCCTGTGTCTGACTTGTGGCAGCTGTAATTTTGTCTAAGAATTCTTGGCATTTGTATCCTGTTTTCCCTGAAAAAGCGTTATATGTGAACAAAGATTTTATCTTGGTGAAAGAACAGTTTGTATCAAATGCAATGTTCAGTGGAAACGTCAGAGGCCACAGTGAGGTATGAGGTCAGATGGAGAAGGACAATGAAATAATGAAAAGGCCCCCTCCTCAGTCTCAAATTCCTACTGCCTGAACAGATCTTGAGTAAAAATCAGTTCTTTATTACCAATCAGTAGCTGAAGAATTTGGAGTTATAGCCTGGCATGGATATCGGTGACAAAAACAAAATCAGACAAAACCTTCTGAAAAAGGCTTTAACTTGACTAATATACAGAAAATCAGGCTGTATTTTTAAGTATAAGAACCATTTTTTACTGGAAGTGAAAAATATTATTCCCCCCTGTTGCAGCACAGTTGAACGCAATGAATAAACCTTCATTTCCCCCACAAAGGCGTTTGGAAGCCCTGACTTTGTATGCCTGGTCAGGTCCAGCCCAGTGCTTTTCACAGTCTGCTGCTTGTCTTCATTACTGTCTTTAGAGAAAGGTTTCTTGATGTTAGAATAACCAACTGCAGAAACCCGGAAGCCATTTTCAACACACGGGCCTTTGAACGTGGTCCAAGTAACTTGAGGCTCCTTGGTGGACAGCTCTGGAGAGAAGGAAAGGAAGAGAAATATCTGTTGAAAAGCATTTATCAGATTCATCATCCCTTTCCAAAGTGTCAGGAGACCCCCTAGAGAGTGGAGAAGTTGGCTTAGGCAGCTAAAACTTCTTAATCCTGCTGTTTGTACGTTTCACGTAGATCAGATGAAAGAAGAGCAGAAAATCTGCCAAATTTGCTCTAGTGTAGGTTTTCTCAGGCTCTGGAAGCATTAGAGAAGAAAGTAAGTCCTTGTCTAAATCTTAAACCATCCCCAAATCAATCAATAGACAGCTTTAATATTTAAAAAAAAAAAAAAAAAAAAAAAGCATAAATCACTTCTTTGACAATTCCATCTAGGCAAGCCAAATTACTTATTGGTATCCAGCATATTTGCAATTATTCACCCTGCTTATAAAATCCTCATAGTCACCTCCCATACATTCGCTGGGATTAGGGAAAAGAAATACTTAATACAGGTTTTCTGAAGGAGTTAAAGCTATACTCTTTGCTCAGGCAGGCTTTGCCCTTTCCAGAATCAATGTCTTCAAGAAATGGTATTTTAAAGTGAAACATCCAAAAAAGTGCACCAGACATATCATCTTATAACTTGCCTTTTATGCCTAACATACGTCATACTCCTGTTGCATCCAAATCTACCGCATTCCTTGTAAAAGCTGCTCATTATAAAAGCTGAATCTTCTCTCTATAGGGCAGGAGAAAATAATCGTGCAAAAAAAAAAAAAAAACAAAAAACCAAAAAAAAAAAAAAAAGAGAGAGAGAGAGAGAGAGAGAGGATAAAGAAGTTTTACTCTGAAGAATACAAAAACAAAACAATAAAAACACAAAACCCACCAGATCAATGAGGGTTATTTCTCTTGGTCTTCTAGAATTCTACACGTGCATTAGCAAGTTAGCTTTTAAGTAATTTTATCAGAATGTGTTATTTATATATTTGAACTTAATAGATAATTATGTGAAATATATAAACATTTTTATTAAGAGCTTAAGTTTAAAAGACAAAATTATATTATGATGGCTTCATAAAACAGAGGAGTCTGTTCTCCCCAAATCCCCCACTTCTTGAAGTTGGTGTAATTTTAGGGAGGTTGAGTGGAATGATCAGAGTATGGGTTTGTAAGTGAAGAGAGCGCTGTATAAACAATAGAATCAAACAAACTTGGAGAAACCAAAAGCTAGAAAAAGTAGCTATAATTAGAATTGAAGGCTATAGGTATGATAAAAAATCGTTACAAATTACATACATAAGAATCTGGTTACTCTTTTTCTGTAACATATTTGGGGCTTTTGGAAAGGATCACATTTCTGCTGAGTTTCTCTTCACTCTACGTGTTGGTATCTTTCTAATGTTAAAAGATCTTGAAATTACTGTAGTATACAGTACTTGTGACATGGGAACCACCTCTGCCAAAAACATAGAAGGAGAATGTTACAATGGAAAGGGATCATTGATACTAAAATCACTTCTTTTCTGAGATGACAAAAACCAAGGGACTGGAGAACAGTTGGCTTACCCAAAACCAGACAGGAGAGCAGCAAGTAGTCTAGAACCCCAGAACCTGACCTCTAGCCTTCCAGTGCACTGCCTTCTACCTGTCTTTCCCTCAACGCTACCTTCCTTCTCTTCTAGAACAAATTATAAAGGAATAACTTTTCCTAGACCAATTTAGGCACTTGGCCATTTAAATGTATCCAGTGGCATGGAACAGGGCAGTCATGGGCTGTCTCTCCTGGAAGTTATCTGATGGGACTGGAATGCTGAGAATTTGGCCTTGTTCATGGAGGTTGTCCAGCCTTGGGCTGGACCAGCATGTTTATACTGTTTGCCGTAGTCATCCCTCTAGCATATAGGCTCTCAGAGTTGAAAACTACTTTGGGGTTGTTCCTTCCCTCCCCCAACTATCTTGGGCTGCAGTGTCTACACCAGCAGGGGATGTGCTCAGGGCCTCATGACTGCAAGTCAAGGCCAATCTGTCTTCTTAGCCATTCAGTTTGTACAACTGATGGAGTATAATTTTATAGTTTTTTTCTTTAATTACATATCCACTTCTTATCAAGTTCATTTTTATTATTTTTTGGTTATTTTATACTGCCTATTTTTTACATTTTTTTTTACATTTTACATTACATATAATTTACATTTTTTTTTTACATTGACTCTTTTTTTACATTGACTATTTTCAAGTCCCTAAGGAATGAGTCAAGGGAACAAACTCTTCCAGTTGAGGGATTTTTAGATATTATAAGCACATCCATTTATTTCTATAATTTGAGAAATCACAATGGTTTCAAATGCTTAGAAGCATTTTAATTAGTAACTAGTAAATTAACTAGTCCTATGAGCTTTTTTATATAGCATTTGCTTAGCAAAGTCAGTGATTACAAAAGGGAAAACTTTAACTCACAGCCAAACTATTATGGGGTTTGGTAAGATTCAAATAACTGAATTATTATTATATAATTCAACTGTATTTTTATCTCTACTCTGAACATCTTTTACTAACTTTTGAATTAAGAGTTTACATATATGTTTTCCCCAAATCAAGCAATCAAAAGCATATAAAGTTTTATCTACTCATTCCATTTCCCAGTGGTAACCACTGTTTATGAGTTTCAGATTATTTTTATGTACATGTATTGATACGTGTATGAAATGTATGTATACATTATGTGCATGCATATGCACACACATCCCCAGCAAATGGGTTTCTCAGAATATAAAAATGGGTTACACCATCACATACTGCTTAATAACCTGCTAAGTTATATATATCTGTCACAACTGTGATATCCATCCCATTTGGGGGGAAAGTTTAAGTCCTAATGTTATAAACATCAGAGCAAATTGGTACATCTTGTGCTGTTATTCCCTCCTTTTATTCAAGGGCAGAGGAATAAAAATTATGAAATGCAATGCTTCCAGCAGAGGTCCAAAGGGAAGAACAGCTAGTCCTCATTAAGGTGGCCACCAGAATGCTACTGTGACACCATATGTGCTGTAATTTTCCTTTGAAATAGGAAAGAAAAAAGGGGGGGGTATTGCCAAAAATAGTGTCATCAACAAGACCTGGGGGGAAATTTTGCTCAGTTAAAAGTACAAACTGTTTTCTAGAACTTTAGGAACCAATTAGAGATTATTTTCTATCATTTCTGTCATTAAAGAAAGGCCCCCAAAAGACCTCCCCTTGGAAACACTTGGTCCCTAATATATTTGACAGAATTAAAGATGGATTATTTTTTTAGAACATGTTTCCTGACTCCTTACTGTCTTCCCTCTTCATCTAATCAGCTCCTAACTAATCCACTCCCCCAGTTTAGAGAGTTTTCACATCACCACACAACTTACTTTGGCCTTATTAAAGCACTAATTGACTGTATTTAATGGCCACTGAAGGGTGCCTGGGCGGCTCCGTCGGTTAAGCGGCTGCCTTCACCTCAGGTCGTGATCCCAGGGTCCTGGGATCAAGTCCCACATCAGGCTCCCTGCTCAGGAGAGAGCCTGCTTCTCCCTCTCTCTGTGCCTACTTGTGCTCTCTATCTCTCTGTCAAATAAATAAATAAAAATCTTTTTTAAAAATGGCCACTTAAGAGTAAGAGAGGTATCTTTATCTTTAGCCGTATACAAACAGTATGAATTTTCAATAGGAAGCATGAAAATGCCCCACATGCCAGAGTAGATCTCAACAACTTATATGACTTGTTATTTATAAATAGGCTTTGCTTTTTTCTAAGGCTATTAATATAAATCAAAATTCTTCACGTATTCTCTATGTTTATAAATATACCTTATTTCACATTCCTCTTAGCAACCATGCAAATAGTTAACTGGCATCATTCCCCACTAAAGAGTCCATTCATAACATATCCAGTAGGATTTTATTTTACTGGATTTTCCTGGGGTCCTCAAATTAGCTAACAGGCAAAGAGCTGGATATTTCCCAGAGTTAGCTCAAAAACATCTCATTTATTCATTTTTAAACTAGAAAGAAATATTGCCTGACCTTTTATTGGCTTTTCTGATGTCTTTATGCCTTCACTTTTTTTGTTTTGTTTTGTTTTAATGTAGGTGCCACACTCAGTGTGGAGCTCAGTGTGGGGCTTGAACTCATGCCCGTGAGATTAAGACCTGAACTGAGATCAAGAGTCAGACGCTTAACTAACTGAACCAGCAGGCACCCCATGCCTTTACTTTTATTTTTTCTTAAAGATTTTATTTATTTATTTGACAGAGAGAAAGAGATCCCAAGTAGGCAGAGAGGCAGGCAGAGAGAGGGGGGGAAGCAGGTTCCCTGCTGAACAGAGAGCCTGATGTGGGCTCTATCCCAGGACCCTGAGATCATGACCTGAGGCTAAGGCAGAAGCTTAACCCACTGAGCTACCCAGGTGCCCCTGCCTTTACTTTTAAAATAAAATAAAAAAATTTTTTTTTCACAACCACAGGAAACATAAATAACACTCCCATAAAAACTTGTTGCAGATTTTACTGCATTTAAGCCTGAGACCTCTACATTTTTCCAGTTCTCTTCACCCTCTTAACTGTGCTGCCGACTGAGCTACCCAGGCATCCCACATCTTACTTTTCTATACCACAGTGAGGAAAATGAATCCATGTCTTACCCAGTCATGACCTACAATCTCTAAGTATATAAAGTCACTTTGTAAAAAGAAAAGAATGAAAACAGAATTTTGTTAGCCAAACAAGATAACGTTTTAGTCTTTACTCTGCCATTGTACGACAGTGCACCTTTCTACTGGCTGTGACATAAAACATTCACAGAACTTTCTAACCCCTGGCTAGTGCTAACAAAATTATCAGAACTACTACCTTTTCTAGACCAATGACACTGAAAGAGTTAGAATCCTGGCTCTCCCAGAAATGTAGCGGTTGTTTCTGTGATCTGCCATTTTCCCTAAAAACAATAGCAGGGGAACAACTGCAGAACATGATTCTATAGCATTATCCAGGCCACACTTTCAGCAAGAAGTC